AGATTTGCCTGCAGAGAAGGGCGTGCTGCTGTGGCTGTCTGTATGCCGGGACACTGCATCAGCAAAGGAATGTGGAGGAGGTGGCGCAGGGTGAGTGGGTGGGAGAAGAGATGCAGACGTACTACTCCGATGATTTTGAAGAATTGACGGATGTGGAGAGATGAATGCATGTTGAGTGAGAGAAGTCAATAACTTAGTGGCAGTGAGTGCTGGAAGGTAATACTTCTCTGCATATATATATTCATATATTCATTCTCGTTGTTTTGGGGAGGGAGGAAATTCCCCCATCCTTGCGAAGGGTGTTGATGCGGCATTTTGTAACGTATGACTTTTAACTTTTCGGTTTTGTTTTTTTTTTGCATTTTTTTTTCTTGTTGCCTGCTGCAACACTTGGCATGCTCTTTCCAGGAAAAGGCTGCGACGGTGAAGACGCTGGACAGGATGAGCCACAGCGGCCGCAAGGTCCTCGTATGTCTCCTGTTTGACATTGATAACACGTTGCTCTCCGGGTGCCGCCGTTTTCCCGCTGAGTGTCCCTGGACAGCACGTGGTGCTGGTATTTTTGCACCGCAGCACACTCTCAGTTATTATGATTCGGAGCGGGGGCGTTACATGCGGAATTGCATCATTACAACTCGCCCCCACTTGGGTGAATTTCTGCATCGGGTGAGCGCGGAACTCAGCACCACACGCGTGGCCGTCCAGGTGGGGTTGTTTACACGCAATACACCCTCATATGCAAATGCCATTGCCGAGCAGGTGCTGCGGCCGCTGATGCCCGTGCCGTTAGCCTTCAAGTTTGGCAGCACACACTGTTGCGGCCCCGAGGAGCGAAAGAAGCCGCTGGCGGTGACCGGTTTTCCCGCCACCTCACTGCTGGTAGACGACACTTGTGCGTCCTTCATTGCGGATGAATTTTTCAGTGGTCGTGGAGCTTTGGTGGCGCCTTTTTTTTCCGGCCTGAAACCATGGGGACTGGAAGAAGAGATGGATGATGTGCTCTCATGCGGTGGCTCCAGTGGCTTCCCTGGCACTTGTAGTCATGAGGAGGATGAGTACTCCGAGATTCTGAGAAGCGTGGAGGACGAAAATTCCACTTTGCTCTGTGCCTTAATTGAGGAGTTTGTTGCCTTTTGGCACAACAACAGCGATGACGCAACAGATAGGACAATAAACCTGCTGAAGGATCCACG